AAGAGATGTGTAGTTGTAACTGGTATAGTGTTTGTCTAGGTATGAAATTAGGCGTTCTCGCTTTGCCACGTCATTATCAAATCAACCAATCATTCCAATTTTTATTATTTTCGAACGTACTTTACATTTAAAAACATTTACAAAAACACAATATATTGTTTTTTTTTTTTGAAGAATATATTCTCTTTAATATTGGATGAATGATGATGCTCTCTAAGAGCCCAAAATTTTATGGTGGGCTAAGAAGAAGCCCCCTTGACGTTGGGCCCAAAACAGTGCAACAAGCTAATGATACGGTCCGATAATACTGGGCCTAACCACAATCTCCGTCCTAATTTCCAGGAGCTGTTCACTTGAACGATGTCGTTTCACGGCTTTCTTCCTCCAGAGTCTTCAATATGCCAATTTTGATAACTGCCATGTATGCCTTCGTTTTCAAGTTTGGGCTAAACAATAAATCCAGCGTGGTGCTTTACCAATTACGCTCTTATGGATGAAATTGTTTGCATGAGCTTTCCAATATTCCTTTTATACGCAGAGAGAAAGAGAGACGATTAGAGGGGTCTTGAACCCACCAACATTCTGATGCGTCTTTTGAGCCACAGAGAGGCACAACAGTGTCCAAGGAATCCTAACACACGTTAGAATTCACTAACTGTCTACCAACTCGAGTCATTTTGGTGTGTTTGACACTTCAATCTAATGCGCTAGAATCTTCATTGGCCTTCTTGACCGTGGGCACAAATTTGCATCTAAGTTGTGCGTCCGCGTGGGAGCTTGACACATGGTGTCTTATACTTTTATATTTATATTTATATATAATATGGTGTCTTATACTTTTATATTTATATTTATATAAAATATAGTTTTTTTAGTAGTATGAAGATTTGATTATCCTATTTCAATTAAATGAGTTATAGTTATGTCTTTATTATTATGCTAAGTTTTATTGAAAAATACTAAAACAAAATTTTAATTTAATTATAAGTTTGAAAAGTGGAACATAGTTCAATGGACAATGGACAAGGCGTTTATGTTTGACCACAAGGAATAGGATAGATACTTGGATAAAAATTATAATGGTAATTTAACCTAAAAATTTTAAAATTTAAGAACACAATAAGAAATTGTTAGAAGAAAGAGACCTCCATTATTTCTACAATGGTCTGAGTTTATCCAAATTAGACATAAATCCACTTAGCTTTTCTTTGGAAATACATTTGACTTTTTAGTTTTAGTAGAGTGTTGTGTGTACATATTTTGGCAAATATAATTAATTATGTAAGACCTTTATTTTATTTTATTTTTTATTTTTTTATTTTTTGTGCAGCTTTGCTTTGCATCTGGGAAAATGGGGCGACGAATCTGTGGGAAACAAATTTCCACCATTGGAAGAGGAAAACCAAAACCAAATACTTTCAATAGAATCCCAACATAAAGAATACGTCGTTTCATGCATAAAACGACATCACCTATTTTTGTATTTTCACCACAATTCATATTCTAATTTCTTGCTTTTGTTTATTTCCAGATATTGATGTTT